GTGACATTGTGACATAAAGACACCTGCTCCTGTGATGGGAGCTAAAGAAACTGTAGCCTTGAGGATTTCTTGTGCCATAGACTGTAGTCTATAGTCTGTAGGCTCCTAAGAATGGCATTTGATTAAAAGAATTTGATTAATCTGGTTAGTTAAAAGAATGCATTGCTCCAGAGATGCCCCCACCCCAGTTGGTTTCCCTTCTCTCTCTCTCAGCCCTCTCTCCTCCCCTCCCCTGCCCATTCTCCCCACACCTGATCCCCACTCCATTCCCCTCCCATCAGGGAGGATATGGGGTGATTCTAGCTGAGACTCCTAGCAGCAGGGGATATGGAGACTGAAGTGGCCACATCCACTATCTAGGAAGGACTTCCAGTGGAAGGAGGGGGATGCTAATCCACCCAGAGAACCTTCAACCCAAAATTTGCCCTGCCTACAATATGTGCCGGGATAAAGATGGAGCAGAGATTGAGGGAAGGGCCAACTGCTGACTGGCCCAACCTGACACCCACCCCATGGGAGAGAGCCAGCCGTTGACACTACTAATGATACTATACTACTATGCTTGCAGACAGGAGCTTAGCATGACTGTCCTCTGAGAGGCTCCACCTGGTAGCAGATCCAAACAGATGCTGAGACCCACGGCCAAACATCAGGCAGAACTCAGGGAATCCTGTGGAAGAGTTGGGGGAAGGATAGAGGGACCCAGAGGGGATAAGAACCCCACAAGAAAACTAATAGAGTCAACTAATCTAGGTCCGTGGGGTCTCACAGAGACTGAACCACCAACCAAAGAGCATGCCTGGACTGGACCTAGGTCCCCTACACATATGTACCTGATGGGCAGCTTGGTCTTTGTATGGGTTCCCTAGTAAGAGGAGCAGTGGCTGTCTCTGACATGGACTGTGTTGTGCCTGCTTTTAGATCACTTCCGCCTAGTTGGGCTACCTTGTCTGGCCTCAGTGGAAGAGGTTACTGTTAGTCCTGATGCGACTTGATGTGCTGGGGCAGGTTGGTACGGGAGGGGGGCTCCCTTTTCTGAGGAGAAGGGGAGGGGGCAATGGGAGAATGGGAGAAGAGGGTGGCAGAGCAGGACTGGGAAGAGAAGAGGAAGGGGGCTGTGATTGAGATGTGAGGTGAATAAAAAAAATTAATGAGAAAAAGAAAGAATAGTACATTGTCCTGGACTTGACAGTATATAAAGAAAAAGGAGTGATCAGAGGAGAAGTGGTTGGAGTTGGAGGATAATAAAGATTATTCTAGCAGTGGAGGGAAACAGTGCCATCTGCTATAGAAGGGTCAAGAAAAGAGTTGGAGGGTCCTCGATACTGGAACCCATGTGATGGTAGTCTTCTCACCTCATGTGTACTGTGGTGTGCTCTCCCCCCAAACAAACAAACAAACAAACAAAAAATCGGAAGACTTTTAAAAAAGTTGTCATAGCATTAGAATGAGATTTGTTGACCGTGAAGAAAATGCCTTCGTAGGAAGGGAGAGAAGGTCAGGTGCCTGAGAGGTGGAAGAAGCCACCGCCACTGAGGGTTGAGGTGTTATTACCTCTGGGACCTCTGGCTTGAACCCTAGCTTGCTAGAAATTTGTGTGTAGGTCCCTCTTCTGAAATAGGAAGTGTTTCTAGTGGTATGCTAAGATCTTGGAGGTTCCCGCTTAGGTGACTGTGTTTCATCCTAGGCCGCAGGCATCCTTAGGCTAGCTATGAAAGTGGCCCAGCGTGGTTTATAGACGGCATCCTGTCACAGTGCTGAAGGGTTGGACACCCTTGTTAGGGAACAATAAGGTGCAACGCCATTGATTTCATTTTCACAGTAGTTTTCAATTGGGAGTGATCTTGTCTCCCCAGGGGACATTTGGTAAAGTCTGAAGGCATTTTGCTTGTCACAGCCAGAGTGATCCCTGGCACCTGGGGAGTAGAGGCCAGAAATGTCACTCGACATTTTTTTGTCAGTGCTCAAGGTAGCTCAGTGACAATCAATAATCTCCCCCAAATATCTAGCTCAGATTAGGAGCCCCCAAATTCTGTGGTCGCATTAAGGAATTGACTCCCTTTTGGTTCTCTGTGACTGCTAGCCAAACAGAACTTTTTTTTTCTGTGTGCTGGAAAGGTGGTTGCCATATCTGTGGAGGGCTGCTGAGTTCTGGTCTGAACTGCAGCCCCAGGCTCTGGCCCCAGGCTCTGGTGAGAGGTGCCAACAACCTGAACTTCCTGCAGGGCTGGTTCCTCCTGAGCAGGGGTTCTGCCCTTCCTGTGCATTGTTTCCCAGCCTTGAAATATGAATGAGCCCTGAGACAGGTTTCACACTAGGAGAACTGAATGATGGGCAGATTGGCAACCAGAGAAAAATATTTTTGTTTTGAGACACTCTTCTGAATGGTGTGTGTGTGTGTGTGTGTGTGTGTGTGTATAAAATATTTTTATTCGGAGAGCTTATTTTTTATGAGTCTTAGTAATGGCTCATCCATTTTGCTGAACTTCCATTTTGGGCTCAGGAAGGCAGGTGTGTAATCGTCATCATCACGGACAGGTAGCAGAGTTCCCTCTTCTTGCCTGGTACTGTGCAGAATGCCTGAAAAGGACACCCAGAGGGTCCTCTATTGAGTTTGAGCTAAGGCTTTGGTTGTTAGGGAAGCATGTTAGGAGGTAGAGACACTGGTAGTTACAGTGCTCTTGACAAATTCATACATGCATGAGAAACCACAAAAGATGTAAACCTTTTGCTTAACGATGTTTTTCTTTTAATGAATTATTGGGATATTGGTTTGCATCTGTAACCTGGCTTATACAAAGTGGGCTTGTTTTAAAAAGTGTATTCATGGGTTGGAGTGATGGCTCAGTGGTTAAGGGCCCTGACTGCTCTTCCAGAGGACCCAGGTTCAAATCCCAGTACCCACATGTCAACTCACAACTGTCTGTAACTTCAAGATCTGACACTCTCACGTAGACATATGTGCAGGCAAAACACCAATGCACATAAAATAAAGGTAAATAAATTAAAAATGATGTATTCATTGGTTTATTTTCTACAATAATAATCTAAGGGAGCAGACTCAATGTGGCATGGTGGCCTCATGATTTTTGGCACCTGTCTTTCTTTCTGCTGGCATCTTGAGCTGATGGTGTTCATCTTTATGAGTGTGTGGTGGCAGTTCTAACTATAGACAACAGGATCCTCTTAAGGTCTGAGGCTGTGTGTTCGATAGTGTTTGGAACTGGACCTGCTATTAATTTTTATTGACTAGATATAGGGGGAAAAAGGCCCACGCTAAGGAGTCTTGAAAGCTGCATATATTTTTAAGGAGGGAAGGAAGGGCAAGCAACAATCGGGAGAGGAGCCAAGAACCCGAGAGCTTTACAGCTCCATCTGGAAGGAACTTAGAACCCGTCTTCTGAAGGCGGGTTTGTAGAACAGAACAGTTAGCTGTATTGGCTGTCTTGTTTTGAGTGCAGCATTTTGAACCTTTAGCCTATTTGTGTGATCTTGAGACCTATTTAAGAAAAAGAAAAAGTAACTGATGCCCTCAGATATATAAACTGTTCTTACCGCTAATGTACCGGTTGCTGCTTCCAAGGGTTGCTTCATGTAAGTACTGTCGACTCTGTGTCCCAATTGCCAGCTCTTGGAAGGGGCACACCATAGACGCTCTTGTGGAGTGGTGCAGACAAATGACTCAAAAGCCAGTGAGATGCCACCAGTGTGGCTGTAACTGGACATTGGCTCAGTCCAGGGGTCCTGCTTTGAAAACCTGGGAAAGAGAATATACAGGGGTGGTGGGTGGTTGGGGAGGTGGGTCTGTTTACCAGGGCCTACCTTACCATGATGGGCGGTGCAAGAGACATGCCGTACGCCTTCCAGAGTTAATCAGCCCCTGAGCTGCAGCCTCTGGCTGGATGCGCACAGACAGTTGTTTATGGTTTGCCTTTGCGGTTGTAGCTCCAGTTCCCAGTGGGGAGGTAGGAAAATGCATCTCATAATTCTTGCTCTGTTCCACTTGACTAACTTCTAGTAACCTGGAAGCCATGGACTGGTTCCTGAGGAAGTTTAATGCCCTTCTTCAGGTGCAGGGGTGACAGTCTCAGGGCAGAAACAAATTTGGCGCTTGACTCTTCCTGTGGTAAAATCAACTTAGTCACTTAGAAGTTTTAACGGGAGAGAAAAGGTGAAGCTCCTTAATTTTGCGTTCACAAATGTCCCATACCTACCTATTGTGTGAAATTCAAGTTAATTTTATAATTCTTTGTAACTGAAAATGTTTGCCTAGAATGAATACTGATGAGTTAAGCTTTGTTATTTGTTGTCCTCAGAATTAAGTTACTTACCAGACCAACAGTCTAAACTATCCAGACAATAGCAAAATTACCATGTGTTTAGCAAGCCCAAAGAAACAAATTCCATAGATTTATCCTTGGAAATTATGTTAAAACCTAGCATTTTGAGGTTCTTTTTGGGGTGAAGTTCCTTTTACGGATATAGCTTAAGATACTCTTTTGGATATACTGGACATTTTGAGTCTTACAAGAACTTGCTTTTCTATTTTTACTTTTTTGAAGATTTATGTATTTGTGTGTATGTGTGTGAGTATATGCACTCGTGTCTGTGCTGGTACCTTCATGTGGAAGCCAGAAGAGGGCGCTGGGTGACTTCTATCAATTCCTATTTGTCTCTGTGGCACTGGGTGCTGGGGTGACAGCCATAGCAGATGCCTGGCTTATTGTACAGATGCTGGGATCTGAACTCTGGTCCTCAGGTTAAGTAGTCTTAACTTCAGAGCCATCTCTCTGGCACCCATAACTTGATTTTTTATATTGTTTCGTAATCATACCAGTGAATGAGAGCCTCGTACATTTGTTCTTTTGTTAAGCTGTATACATTTTGTGTGTATGTGTGGTGTCTGTATACATTGTGGTGTGTGTGTGGTATATGTGTATATTTGTGGTATATGTGTATATTTGTGTATTCATGTGCAACTGTGTTTTCCTTTCTTGCAGAATTAAATGTTAGGGAATCTGATATCAGAGTATGTGATGAATCATCCTGTAAATATGGAGGTGTCTGCAAAGAAGATGGAGATGGTTTGAAATGTGCATGCCAATTTCAGGTGAGAGAACTTTAATCCCTCCTTCCCCATTTTATAATTCTACACTCTTTAAATAAAGAGCACACAGTGCCTTGAGGCCCTAAAGGAACTGAGCTCATAGCCCACTAGTTCTTTCTTGCCAGGTCAAGTCCTGTTACTTGTGCCTTCTGTGCTTCATTTCAGAAATTAAAGAGGACAGACTGACCATGACAGATGTGAGCATGTGTGGGGAAATGTTAAAGTAATATCCATGGGTAACCTTTGCAGAGGTAGGGAAAGGGTGGGCGCTCTGGGTCAGCCTCTTACTTGACAGGTTGGCATGATCTTTCCCTTTTTTCTGTTAACCTGGCTTTCCTGCTCCCCTCCTCCTCAGTCCTTGCTACTGTAGCTCTTTAGAGCCAGGATGAATTAGAGCCTCGGGGAATCAGGGTCAGAGACGTGCTGGGAATTAGAGTGGCAGCCCAAGAGTATGGCACCTTAGCATTTCCTTCTGGGTTTTAGTTGTGCTGTTACTGTCTGAAAGGCCGAGAGAGGTGGAAGGTGTCACTCTTGATTGTTCCTGTTTGCCTGTGTTCTTCGATTAAATTATAATCTAGGTGTAGATGTTGTCTCAGAATTGGAGAGGAGTATAGAAGGAGCTTGTCTGGTTTTCACTGACAGTCTTGTTCTAACTAAGCCTGCCATTTTGAATCTTGAGGAGAGGAAGGGGTTCAGAAACAAGGCATATGACCTAGGAGAGTTAGGTAACCTAGTGACCTCCCCAAGAATGACTTCCTCACTAGTATTTGATCTGAACAAAGGTACATGTAAGATGTAGTAAGAACACACAGGGAGAGAGCACTTGTGTGTTGTGAATCTTCTTTGAATACCACAAACCATCACGACGCCTATTTCCATGAAAAGAAATAAAGAATGGAAGCAATGGGGATGGGTAGCTGGGCACACTGCTATTGACCACCCCGTTAGGTTCTCAGGGTCAAAGAGACTTTTCATCCATTTATACAGAGCGGTGTTTCTGTGAGGCAGGCTCCACAATAGCCACTTTCTTCCCAGCTTGCTTAGACTGCCTTGGCCGGCTTCACACCCTTGCTGCCCATTGGCTGGGGACATCAGTTCCTTCTGTGCCTGCCTTTCCATGGGGCTCTTTCATTTCCATGGAGCTGGTTTTAGATTCTGTTTTTCTTCATTTTTTTCCAAGCCCTTGAGGTATTTTTAAGATTACATATTAAAAAAGGCAGCCTTTTCAATGTCCTTGAACAGCTAAAAAATATTTTTCCATCATCTGTCTTAAATCTTTTGGTTCTTAACCTGTGGCAAAGCAGGAAGAGAAATGTAAGTGAGGAAGTGAGATCAGTAGATGCTTTTCTGGGCTTGCTGGATGCTGTGTCTTCAGCTGGATGCTAAAGATGTTTAAGGACAGGTTCCTTGCCTTGTAGGGGCAAACTGCCCAGGGGCTTATAGCCTGGTTGCTTCTCCTGCTGAGCAATTCTTCCTTTGATCGCGCTGCTGTCTTCCTGCAAGATTATAGATCTATTCATAAAACCCAAATTATTGGCAGCTTAAAAACAGTGACTTGATGTCTACATTAGGCACAGCTGTCTTTTGTGTAAATCTTAACAGTGATAATCAAATTGCTTGAAAAGATTGCTTATAATTCTGCATGCTTTCAGTGCTAATACAAGCTTCTGGAGCATGAGTTAGGTTCACTTTCACAGAAAATGGGATTGTACATAACTGCAAATTTTGTTAGTTGGCTCATAGAAGCCATTATCTTGCTAGTTATATAAACAAATCCATTCACTAATTATATGCATAGAAAACTTATTAATGCTACATCTTCCCCTTAAAACTTAGTGCCTCTGAATTTCCTCTATTTTCTTTCTTCCTTGTTGTATTTAGAGTTCTGTGGCCTGTCTTCCTGTATTTGTGGCTGTTTTTTTTTTTTTTTTTTTTGCCAGATTCCATGGCCTTCTCATTCTTACTAGAACTTTGTATTAGAAATAGAAACAGCAGAGTACATGCACATGACTATGTGAGAGTTCTGAAGAAGAGACTAATGAGGAATTAGCTTTTTTGATTATAGAGGCTGAGCAATCCCACAATCTGTTAAGGGATGAAGATTCAGGAAATGGATGGTGTACATCCCTGTTGGAAACTAAAGGCTGAAGACCCGTATCTCTCCATTTTGTTCTATTTGGTTTCTGTAGAGAGGGAACTGGATAGGAGAGGTAGGAGAGGGTGTAACGAGGGAAACAAGGTGGGGCTGTCAGATGTGGGGAGAATGGGGAGGGGAGGTCTGAGGGCCTGGACAGAAAAGGGAAACCAAAGGCAGGGGCCTCCCTGAGACAAGCTGAATACAGAGCAGGCTATAGGGAGGATATGGGAATGTCTAGCTGAGCCTCCTAGCAGCAGGGACACAAGACTGAGGAGGCCACCCTCTAGCCAGGAGGACCTATAGTCCTTCTACAAAACTTTTGAACCAAATATTTACCCTACCTACAATATGTGCAGAGATAAAGATAGAGTAGAGATTGAGGGAATGACCAACCAGTGCTTGGCCCAACTTGAGACCCAGACCATGAGAGAAAGCCAACCCCTGACACCATTAATAATATGCTGTTGTGTTTACAGACAGGAGCCTAACCTTAACTATTCTCTGAGAGGACCCTCCACCCCAGCAGTTGATTGAATTAGATGCTGAGACTCACAGCCAAGCATTAGGCAGCGCTTGGGGAGTCTTATAGAAGAGTGGGAGGGAAGGATAGACAGACTGGGAAGGGACAAGAATGCTACAAGAAGACCAACAGTGTCAACTAACCTAGACCCATGGGGGCTTACAGAGACGGAAGCACCAACCAAAGAGCATGCATGGACTTGACCTAGGCCCCCTACACATAGGTAACCAATGGGCATCTCAGTCTTCATGTGAGTCCCCTAGTAAGTTGAGCAGGTACTGTTTATGGCATGGCCTCTATTGCCTGCTTTCGATCACTTCCGCCTTTTGGGGCTGCCTTGCCTAGCCTTAGTTGATGAAGAAGAGCTCAGTACTTGATGTACTGGGGTGGGCTGGTTGGGGGGGCGCTTCCATATTCTGAGGACTAGGGGAGGGGGGATAAGAGGAAGAGGGTAGGAGAAAGGGACTGGGAGAATAGGAGGGAGAGGAGCCTATGATTGGGATGTAAAGTGAATATATAAATTAAAAACAAATTAATAAAAATAAAAGCAAACACAAGTCGGATAATGTGTCTCACCCTGGAGAGGGCAGTCTGCTTTACTTGGTTCACTGACTCCAATCCTAATTTCGTTTGGAAAGGCTCTCACAGATATATCCAGAAATATCTTTTAATCTGGACACCCTAGGGCTTAGTCAAGTTGCCACATGAAATTAACTATCGCAGCTATATTAGTCCAACTTTTCCTGACAGAATACCGGAGCAAAACAACTACACGGGGGGTGGGTGGGGGAAAACATGGCTTATTTTGGTGTACATTTTCAGAGGTTTAGTCCATCATGGTGTGCAGGAAATTGAGAGGAAGAGCCAGTGTTTGTGGGCTTCTTCTTCCTGTCCTACTCTCCACAGGTCTCCCGTGTGTTGGTAGTGCTACTATCAATATTCAGGGCTAGCCCTTCTACTGGAATTAATCCTCTCAAAGACACGTCCAGACATGTGCTTTATTGCTCTTCTAGGTACCTATCAATCTATCAATCAAATTGATAATTAAGATGAATTATCCCAGGAACCTACTTTCTTTCTTTTTTTTTTTTAAATTACATTTTTATTTTTTATATTAGTTACAGTTTATATACTTTGTATCCCAGCTGTAGCTCCTCCCTCATTCCCTCCAAATCCCTTCTTCCCTCCCTCATCTCCTCCCTGCCCCTCTCTAAGTCCACTGATAGGGGAGGTCTTCCTCCCCTTCCATCTGACCCTAGCTTATCAGGTCTCTTCAGGACTGGCTGCAATGTCCTCCTCTGTGGCCTAGGAAGGTTGCTCCTCCCTTGGGGCCGGGGGGGGGGGAGAAGGAGATCAAAGAGCCAGCCACTGAGTTCATGTCAGAGATAGTTCCTGTTCCCCTTACTGGGGAACCCACTTAGATACTGAGCTGCCATGGGCTACATCCAAGCAGGGGTTCTAGGTTATATTCATGCATGGTCCTTGGTTGGAGATATAGTCTCAGAAAAGACCCCTGTGCCCAGATATATTTGGTCCTTGTGGAGCTCCTGTCCTCTCCAGGTCACACTAACTCCCCCCTACTTTTTTTTTAATAATTATTTTTATTTTATTAATTACAGTTTATTCACGTTGTATCCCCCCTGTACCTTCCTCCTCCCCTCCCAATCCCACCCTCCCTCTTTCCCACCTGTGTCCCTCTCCCAGTCCACTGAAAAGGGAGGTCCTCCTCCCCTTCCCTCTGATCCTAGTCTATCAGGTCTCATAAGGAGTGGCTGCATTGTCTTCTTCTGTGGCCTGGTAAGGCTGCTCCCCCCTCGGGGAGGTGATCAAAGAGCAGGCCAATCAGTTCATGTCAGAGACAGTCCCTGTCCCCATTACTATGGAGGCCACTTGGATACTGAACTAGGCTACCTCTGTGCAGGGGTTCCAGGCCATCTCCATGAGTGGTCCTTGGTTGGAGTATCAGTTTCAGAAAAGACCCCTGTGCCCAGACTTTTAGGATCTGTCACTGTCCTTGTGGAGCTCCTGTCCTCTCCAGGTCTTACTATCTCCCACTTCTTTCATAAGATTCCCTGTACTCTGCCCAAAGTTTGGCTATGAATCTCAACATCTGTCTCGATACTCTGCAGGGTAGAGCCTTTCAGAGGCCCTCTGTGGTAGGCTCCTGTCCTGTTCCTTGTGTTCTCTCTCCTCCGATGTCCATCCTCTTTGCCTTTCTGAATGGGGATTGAGCATCTTAGCCAGAGTCCTCCTTCCTGATTAGCTTCCTTAGGTGTACAGATTTTAGTATGTTTATCCTATATTATATGTCTAGTATCCACTTATGAGTGAGTATATACCCTGTGTGTCTTTCTGCCCCTGGGATACCTCACTCAGGATGATCTTTTCCAGTTCCCACCATTTACCTGCAAATTTCATGATTTGTTTGTTTGTTTGTTTTTTATCGCTGCGTAGTAATGTTTTTTATCGCTGCGTAGTAATATTCCATTGTGTAGATGTACCACAATTTCTGTATCCATTCCTCAAATGAGGATCATCTGGGCTGTTTCCAGCTTCTGGCTATTACAAATAAAGCTGCTACAAACATGGTTGAGCAGATGTCCTTGTTGTATACTTGAGCCTCTTTTGGGTATATGCCTAGGAGTGGTATAGCTGGATCTGAGGAAGCGCTATTCCTAATTGTCTGAGAAAGCATCAGATTGATTTCCATAGTGGTTGTATAAGTTTACATTCCCACCAGCAGTGGAGGAGGGTTCCCCTTTCTCAGGCTCTAAGAGCAACAATCAATAAATGGGACCTCATGAAACTGAAAAGCTTTTGTAAAATAAAGGACACTGTCATCAAAATAAAACGACTGCCTACAGATTGGGAAAGAATCTTCACCAACCCTCTATCTGACAGAGGGCTAATATCCAGTATATATAAAGAACTCAACAAGTTAAACAGCAACAAATCAAGTAATCCAGTTAAAAAAATGGGGTACAGAGCTAAACAGAGAATTCTCAATAGAGGAATATTGAATGGCAGGTAAACACTTAAAAAAAGGTTCAGTGTCCTTAGTCATCAGGAAATGCAAACCAAAACGACCCTGAGATTTCACCTTACACCCATCAGAATGGCTAAGATGAATAACTCAAGTGACAATACATGCTTACTTTCTTATTTTATTGTGATCCAAACAATTCGTGGCACATAGTAGGTATACAGCAAGTGCTTGAATGGCTGTAGTTCCAGAATTGTTTAGTGCTGTATCTTTCAAACAGCTTCACGTAGCCGGCAGTATCATCACAGTCATAAGTGATAGAGGAGCTTTCTATTCCTCATCAAAGGTGGCAGAATAGAGATCAGAGATCACGTCCAGAGTCAGTGATTAGTCTGAATGTTGTAAAATTGCCCAGATTCCTTCATTTGTCCATTAACATTCTGGGTGGCTTCCAGGAGAGGCCCTAGAAATGAAGAATGATGAAGGAACCACAGATCTACTTCCTCATCTCAAGGTCCCTCTGAGGTTTGTGCTGATGAGACAGATTGCAGGGACATAAGGACCCTTGCTCACCATCAAGTGACTCATGGGTGAGACTCTGAATGACTTGTGTGCAAGATGTCAGGAGCAGTACTTGTGCTTCTACACAAGTACTCAAGACTTCAAAATGACAGGAGCCACAGCTGATATTTAAGAATTTGTCGTTGGCCAGATAGCAACACCATAGGTACCTCCACTTTATTTAATCCTCATAACGACATTCTTTGAGATGACTGTGACAGTTAGCTGTAGACAGATGGGCAAGGCGGTGCTGCTTTCATAGGGATGGTGGGCCCGGGGTTTGAGAGCTAACAGTGTTTGACTTCAGAGCCCTGGCTCAGGCATTGCCATGAGCTTCCTTGGTTGTTAAAATGTTTAAGTCCATAGGACGTTTAAAGCTGCTGTCCAGTGCTTACTGAGATACTGTTTTATAAATGTTAAGATTTCCAGTCCTATCAAACTCTTTCGATAGCTCACGTTCCATGTCTTTATTACCGTTAAATGAAATTTATAATGTTGCCTAGAAAAACACATGGTTAGAGAAATAAATATGGTACATAATTTTAATATATAAGCAAAATAAAGGTCATTTATTACATGCTTTGGAATGATTATTTTAGAAGACAATATAGTACTCAGGTGCTTATATCTACTTATAATGGAGTTAGATTAAAAATATTCATACGCACTTTCATATACAAAGCTCTTTAAATAAAAATTTAATTTTAATAAAAGTTTGTGTAATATTTTGCTGATATTGATCGTAAAGTTAGGTTGGTTATAAAATAACTTTGTTAGCTAGCAGTTGCTAAGCTGTGCTAATATGCTGTATTGATGCTTCAGACACTGAGACAGACCACTTAAAAAAGTAGATTATAGTAAAAGTACATCTTGTTGATTGCAGAAAAATTGAGACATACAGAAAATTGGACATATGAAAAATATATTGACATCTTCTTCTAGAAGTTATCCATATTTTCTAAATTAGACTGAATGAAATGTCTTCTTGCTATACTTTATTGTATATTGTCTTAAAAATTTGCATTTAGTGTCATGGACAAACAATACTTGAAAAAATGGCAATCTGTGCATGATGGCACATGCCTGTAATCTTTGCACTGGTTAGGTGAATTCAGACAGGGAGAGTTCCTTGGTAGCCTGGTCTACACAGTACGTACCTCTCTAAAGAATCCCCCACCCCTCAATTCTTATTTTCAGTGTACAACTCAGATTGCTAATGAAGGTCAATTACTTTTATGTATTTGTTGGCTGTTACTGTTTTTCTGTGAGTACTTAGCTGCTGAGCCATCTCGCCAGCCCCCCATCTGTGCTATATTTGACATGTAGAAGTTCTAAAGTTCTTTTAAGTATGTTGAACCAGCGTCATTTTTCAAATCTCATTACCGTTTATCTTCATCCGCCTTGTTCCTGTTTGTCCTTCGGTGCTCAGTTAGAAGCCCACTTTCTCTGACGAGGTTTTCCTCAAACTCTAGCTTGTAGCAGTGGAGATCAGGCATCGTACTTTGTCTGATCGACTGACTTGGAACATAATTTAGCTTTGCCATTTTTTTTTTCTATTCTAACAAGATTATAACATCTCTGAGTACGGAGGCTGTGCAGATTTCTTTGTGTCTTCTCTGTTCCTTCGGTGGGGACTTTGCGACTAGCGGTATTAAGTAAATGGATTTTAATGGTGAAGTCATCATCTGAGTAGCTCTTTACAAACATTGTCACGACTTCCCTCTTAATATTTCTATGGCTTTTCTTAGCAAGTAAACACAGTAGATTGCACAGGGATGTCTCATTTCATTCAGGGCCAACTGGTAGTTATTTTTGTTACTGACATGAGAAGAACGTCTGAAGAAGAGGCAGGTCTTCTTTGTTAAAAGTTATATTCAGGGACAACCTGTTCTAGAAGTAAAGTCATAATACTCTCCTTTTGTATTGATGAGTGTGAGCTATGCCATTAATATTCATGCCTCGTTCTGAGTGTATTTTTGTTCTTTTGCAGTGCCATACAAATTACATTCCTGTCTGTGGATCAAATGGGGACACTTATCAGAATGAATGTTTTCTCAGGAGAGCTGCTTGCAAGCACCAGAAAGACATAACAGTGGTGGCCCGGGGACCTTGCTACTCTGGTATGTATGTTGTTAGAAATGGTTCCCCCATATTTTCCAAAAGGAGAATTTAGCCGGAAGTGTTTGGCTCACTTTGCTGGAGGGGTTGGTGGTGAGTGAGGGAGGTTTGTCTATGTTTCATGTTATGCTTCTTAACTCGAGGTGATTTTTGTATTGATTGTATGCCTGTATTGACTGTATGTTTTGTGTGGGAATGTCACAGATCCTTTGCTTGGTACAGTTTGGAGTTGGGAACTGCCATGGGCTAAGTTTGTCTTCATTTATTTATGTTTTTGAGATGATTGTCTCTAGAAAGCCTCTATGAACATTTCAGGTTATATTTCTTTCCAGATTCTTTGCTCCTTTCCACCCACCGCCTCCAGCCCTCTTATTTACTTTCTCCTTCCTTGAAATGGTAGTTTTGGTTTTGGGAGGTCTCAATGTGAGTTTCTTAATTGTGTTGAGTTTGAGGGTGAAGGTGAAGGCCAGGTACTGTAACTACAGTCATTGTGTGGAAGCCAGTGGTAAAGACAGAGACTGATACTGTCTTCGTTTACTTCCTTTTTCTGGTATGTCACAGTGTTTAAAGTTCCCCCTCTCACTAAATGTGAAGGGTTTACGGCCAGCTATAAGTTAGTGTGCATAGGCCCCAACACTGCTCTCCCTTATGCTACCATTTAGAGTTCAAAAAGTTCCCCAAACTGTCCTCAGGTATAGTTTTCTAGAAGGGCTCATAAAACTCACTAAAAGCTATTACAGGTATGATTTATTGAAGGGAAAAGATACAGTTAAAATCGCCCAAACCAGAGATGCATAGGGCAGACTGTGGGAGAGGTCCTCTCTGAGGAGTCAGGGACAGTGTTCCTTCCTTGCAGAGTGCTGTCTGCTGGGAAAGCTGAGCTGCAGTGCTGGCTTATCGGAGCTTCGTTACGGAAGTGGGATGTTACTGATCTTAGAATCTGGATCTTAGAATCTTAGATCCGCGTGACCCCAAAACTTTCATTCTAACTCACACAACTCACCTTTTTTCTTTTCATTTCTTTTGTGCGTATGAGTGTGTGTCATATGCATGCATGTGTTCAGGTACATGCCTCCATGTGTGAAAACCAGAGATAGACACCTGCTACCTTCCTTTATTGCTATTTTATTTTTATGTATGATGTTTTCCTTACTGTCTATAAGTGTACCACCTCTGTGCAGAGCCCTAGAGTGTGAGAAGAGGTGTGTTGAATCTTTTGGAACTAGGGTGGTGGGTGCTGGGAAATAAACAGCAGCAAATGTTCTTAACCGCTGAATCATCTTCCAGCTCTACTCGTATTTCCCTGAGATGCAGTCTCATTGCATCTGCAACCACTGTTGCATAGGTAGGCTGGCGGGCCGGGAGGCTCTCAGGATCTGTCTCTGCCCCCCCAGTGCTGGTGTGACAGGAGCATGCTGCCACATCAGGCTGCTTACACAGATGCTGGAGGCCCACAGTCGGATCCTCAGGATTGCTCTGGCCACTGTGGCTAGCCCTCACACCGCACTGTGAAATGTGGCTGTCCCCCTCCACGTCTGTCGTAGAACTTCCTCCTAACGTAGTTACTGCACAGAAGCAGTGAAGTGTCTGATCTTTTTGGACAAGGAGAAAGTTTTTACTGTACACAAAATAACTAGGTGCTGAAAGTTTGTGCTCTTGGGCTGTCACGTGATGTCCTCATGAGCTTCTCTAAGTACATTGTGCTTCAAAGGCTTGATCTAGAAAATTTGGGGAGTCCTTCTGTTGTAGAAAATAAAAGTGCTATTAATGTTTATTATTAATAGCCTGTAATTATTACAGTGGTTATTATTAACCTGCTACCATACCAATAAAAGGCATAGACACCCGATAGAATTGTAAATAAGCCTTAAATCAGCTGAGGATGGGCAGATATAACCCCCTAAGCTACCTTGTTGCCTCCCAGCCCACATCCCATGCCATTTGCTATAATCATTCCTAGTTGGGCCGCTTCCCATTCATAATTCCATAAATACCTAGGCTTTTCATCTGAGCTACTTCTCTCCAGCATTGCCTCAGAGTAAATTCCTCCTGGCTGCATGGTTTTGTCCACGCTAACCCATGGCGGTCCCCGATTCCTCCTTCTCCTCTAACACTTGTCTCTCTCCTTCGCGTGATTCTTCTGTCCTCCACCCTGGAACCTTAGCCCTACCTCTCACATTTGCCCTGCCCAGGTGTGCTGTTGGCCTTTTATGTAGCCAATTAGGGATAATTTTGGAAGGAAGGCTACAAAGCATTACCTGAGGTATATGATTGTCTGCTGGTAAAGGTTAGCAAGCAGACCTCAGGGAGCAAAATAATTAAGGATTAATACAAAGCCTCAGCCTGTGTGGTAACATCTTTCTGATGCCATATTGATTGGTCACTTGTTAGGAGCATTTGCTTTGGTAGGCAGTGAATGTTAAACAGGGGGTAGAGGGGTAGGTTGCAGAAAGGCCTCACGTTAAAGTTACCTCAGCTTTTATTTACCATGTAACCTGTACCTTAGACTCTCTCTCACCATCTCTCTAAATTTTTACATGGGTATCAGTCTTCTGGGTTTGTTAAGCTTTGGAATACCAAGGCCTTGAGGTGTCATATTGTTTTTGTTTTTTGCTGACCCATTGTTTTCATGTTATTTGGTCTTTAAAGGTGTCCTGAGAGCTTGAAATATTTCCTCTTTCAATTATTCAAAAAAAAAAAAATCCTGTTAGGCTTTACTCTGAAGTCCTTCTTCTGTGACATCTCTGGGAAGTTTGTTTTACCTTCTATGTACCTATGCATGTAACATGTGGTACTTCACTTACCTGACATACGTGCCTATAACCACATAAGAGCTTTCTTCACCAGGAGGCCGTATGCTTTATTTAGGGAAGCATAACACCTTCTTCTAGCTACGATGGACTCAAGGATGTGTATGCTACTGATAAAATTCGGCAACAAAAACTACCATATTGTCAGAGTGTTCAATAGTATTTGATTTATTTAGGAAGTCTTAATGACTTAAGGACATTGTAAGATTTTTTAGTATCTATTAAAATTGGACACAGTTTGAAAAAAGGTTTGGGGTGAGTGTCTCGTGTACTAGGAACATACATGTCTTATTTATTATTTGTAATCTCAGCTTTTATCACATTGCTTGGCACTTAATATATACCCAATCAATGGATATCTAATAAAAGGGAGAAAGCCTAGTTTTCCTAAGAAAATATGGTCATAAGTTTTTACAAATTCAATTCCCATTTCTCTCCTCCTTTTCTATTTCCCTGCTCTTTCCCTTTTTCCTTTCAGGAGACAGCCTTAGCTGAGTGGTTAAACCAAAACTGAATGCAACTGAGAACTCTCCACAAAGCACACAGAGCCTATGCACGTGGCACTGCCTGTAAGGCGTGCCTTCTAATTCCCCCTATTGTTGCGTGTCTGGGGATTTGACTATTGCTTCATGGAGTTTGGTGGGAAGGGGCTGGTATTGTTCTAGTATTCAGAATTATCTTCCATTCTAGTGAACATTTGAAGAATAGAACTAATTCCCTGGGGCCAAGATATCTCCCCTGGAGAGTTTGGCTAACGTATCAGTATCTTCATCTGCCATCTCTTTTTAAAATTTTTACAGTTCCATGCTGATGATATGGCAGAATCCCCTATTTCCACCATGTGGTATATATTGGCTTCTTTCAGCACTATAAAATAAAAATTTAGGGCTTGGGTTGTGACTCAGTTGTAGAGCAATTGCCTAGTATTTACAAGGCCCAGCACTACCAAAATTTTAAATTGTACATTAATTACATTTTAGGCTGTTCTCTCTCTGAGATTTATCCTGAATAGATTTCCTAGAGGAAGCTAATTTTATCATTACTATGCACATTCAACCCTGAGGTTCTCCTTGCTAAATCATGTTTTTTTTAAAGCCTTTTGGCCTCTGGTCTGTATCCACAAATTTGATTAAGAAGACTTTTGGAGCCAGGCTCAGCTTTTATCTTTCTAGTAGAAGCAGTTTGTTCAGTTTTCCTCTCCAGCCCTAACAAAATTAAAATTTCCTTTTACCTTCTAAATGTATGGGCTAATCATTTCTGTTTAGCTATTTATAGTATTTTTAGTCTTAGTCTATAAGATCTGGGTATTTCCTGATGGGCTGGCTTCTGAAATATAAGAAATATATTTAGTATATAAGAACTCCTGATGGCTTTGTGCCTAGGTTACTTACTCTGTAGAGCCTAAAGTAGAAATGAAAATAAACTTAGCTGTCAAAAGTTTGAGAAGAGGATATATGACCATGGATGCCACAGTTTTATTTTTGATAAGAAATGTTACTATTTGAAAAGATGGAATTTCCTGGAGAAACGTTTAAATTTGCTGTTTTTCTTCTCAGATAATGGCTCTGGATCTGGAGAAGGAGGTGAGTTTTAAATACTTCGCTACTTTGAGAGAGTTTCATCCATAGCCCAGGCTGCCTGGGAACTCACTACATAACACAGGTTTGGCCTTGAACTTACATTGGTCCTCATGTCTCAGTCTCTCACGGATTCCAGGCGTGATCCTCCATGCCCAGCTCAAATACTTCTTAAGGCCTTTGTTTTCCTTTGATATTTACCAGCTCTGAGATATAAGTCACATGCCAGAGAGCTCCCTCCTTTCAAGTTTGAAGCACAATGACTTTTAGGGTATACAGATTCAGGGACTCATCATCACCAACAACCTTACAGAAGCCCTGTGCCCTGGCCACCATGCCCACCTTGGGTATCTCTCTTAACTTTGTTCCACATAGTTTTTAATGAGAGTTTCCTGTCAGACTAAACAGAACCCATCGTAGCCTTTGTTTAGGTTGCACAAGCTAGCTTCCACTCAGGATTGTTCACCCAAGTGATTTTTATCATGAATCAGAGCTTTTACATCTCTTTTATTTGCTTCCAATTTTTTTTTACCGTAAGGAATTTTTTTTCCTTAAGTCTAACAAGGTTAAAAAAAATCTAGAGTAAGTTATGCTTAGAGAAGAGAAAGCTCGCAAAACAACTCTGGTGGAATTAAGAGTTAAATTTAAATCTTTAAAACGTCCTGTGTTTTAAATTCTATTTCACAGAAAAATTATTTCTGATGTTTAAAAATGTCATATTTGGTGATAGCATTGAAGCACCAGAACTGAGGGTGAGTTTAATGAAGCTATAAATCTTACTCTGTGCACATTAATACTCGAGGTACCCTGAGGATATGTTACAGGAACACCCACTGGGGAAATTCAGGCCAAATATAAACTTCAGCTCAGATCCTAACCACATGAAACCTGTGCCAGGCTACTCTTTCCTCTGTATTTGATAGAGTCCCAAAGTTTCCAAGTTGGAAGGGACTTTGAAGGACTGTAGAGAATAGATCATTTATGGCGAGGAATTCAAGGATGGCAGTTTCAGCCAGACAGAAGATGATAAAAGCAACTGAACAATAGGATTTGATTTAAATGGACGTGTTTAAGCAGCAGCTTTGTAATCATGTGTGAAAGCTAACTTCATGAATTTTAGATATGAGAGCAGGAAAGGATTTTAAGAGATCATGTGAGCTGGTCCCTGTGGTCATTGTTCCGTTAGGAAACTCAGATGTTCCCAAGATCTGCTAATATAATACAGCCCTAGCTGCCTTGCTGAGAATGTAGGTTGTTCTCAGCCCTCAAGGGAACATGCACTGGAAAGATTTAGTGGTTTGCTGAGCCAGTCTGGATCTTACGATGGTTCTGAGAGCTCAGAATTATTAATTATTATGATCATTGCAATCTGGGCTTCATCGTGTTTAAGGAGTGTTTCCAATCATAATAGGCAGATAGCATACACTGGGGAAGTTAGGTGCTATCTGTGGACTTGTGTTTTGATAAGGTCGTCAATGACTGCTCTGCCCCCAATTCAGAATTCTGTCATATACCAGGTCCCTCCAAGCTGAGCACCTTCCTCACAGCTGACCTCCTGGCCCTCTTGGAGAGACTGTCCGGTCCACACATACAGGATGCCCTTGTTCGGGGGCTGCGATTTTCTTTTTCCGGGGGTCAGTGATATGTGCTTCTTTTGTGGCTGGGAAATACATTCACAGATTTCTCCATCTCAGTATTATGGGCTGTGTTAAGTGGGCCAACTAGAGAAGGGGGCTTTGAGAGGGCACCCCTTTCCTTGTCTAAAATTGGAGACAAATACTTCTTTTAACTCTGGAGTTAGTTTTTATGTGCTTCAAAAGTCGGGTGTGGGGCTAATGTGAGGGAAGGTGATGATGATGTTCTCATGTGTTCCTGCATGTCTTTGCCAATCAGCCTGTATTGGCTTCTTTAGGGCGAGGATAGTCACAGATAGGAGTTTTGCTCATGTTTTATTTTCTCCCACTCAGTATTAAATGGTAATTCGTTAGAAATGCAGTTTATTAAACCTACTGTGTTGTTCCAGCACACACAGCCTAAGCCATTATTTTGCTAACAGTGCTGTGTCACGGCATATGCTGCTCAGTAGTTTCAGCAGCTTTGGACTCCAGCTCTGAGGCCTTTTTAGAAGTGATTACCTCCAGAAGCTTGGGTGCGTTTTCCTCCAAAACAAGATAACGGCTTCTGAAAACTTGAAGCATATCTGGAAAGGCTCCATTCCAGCTCTGGTTAAAAGAACAACTTTTCTGTTTACACAGAGGAGGAAGGCTCGGGAGCAGAGGCTCACAGGAAGCATTCCAAGTGTGGACCGTGCAAGTACAAGGCTGAGTGTGACGAGGATGCGGAAAATGTTGGGTGAGCTGTGGGGCGTGGGACTAACTGCTTCTCAGGTCTCTTCCCTGTTGCAGGAAGAGCTTTCTACTCAGCTCTGGGGCTTCTGCGCATGCCTCCTAACATTTTAACTCTCAATGGTCTGGCTGGCTCTTTTCTCTTTTCTTTTTTTAAGTTGATGTAATACAATGACTGTTTAAATGAGTTATATGTTCAGAATGAGAATCCATTTATAGTTTTTTGAGTTTGATCTGTGTTCTTTAAAAAACAATTTTGTTTATACTAATTATGATTTATTCATCAAAACCGTCATCTTACACTGTCCCATCTGTAAGCATCTATAATAAACAGTTTCTCTTTCTTCTCTTGCAGTTTTTTTCTTCTTGTGGTACAAATTCAGACACACTTGCAAAAACCTAATGTGTTTCGGTGCACTGAGAAAAAAAAATTTTAAATTTGCAAAAATTTAACTACACCTTTTATATAATTGAAACGTATTCTTATAAACCTCAGTTGTATAGTTGATGTTGTTTTTCTTATCCACATTCAACTTTCACCACAGTGAGTTTAATGGCTAACAGACTCCGCCAGTTTTCTGCCTGGTCCCTGGAAGAAGTGTTTGTTTGGTGGAATAGTAATGACCCTGGCGCTTATCAGCAGTCAGGTTTGATTTTCCCTTTCCTCAGTATTATGTTTACCTATTCCCAGTCTTGCTCTTTCATTTTCCTGTGCTGCTTAATTTGTGCATATTTGATTTTCAAAGCTTTGACGCTGACTTCAGGACCTGACAGCTAACTGTATCTTCTTCATTTTCTCTGTTTCCTCTAGTGCATATTCGGAAACACTCTTTTTTTTGGAGATTGTTACTTTATTCCTTTTGTACATATTTTTGGTGTGTGCTTTCAGATCCTGTGTTTTGTTCAGCACTTTAAATCTTTTTTTATCAAAACTGTATTAATTAGCATTAATGCCCAGAGTGAGTTTATAAATCAATACCATTCTATTTTCAGTATTAATGGCATAATATCAGCTGTTTGGGTGGCATTTGGTAAAATTAAATGCTTGGTGGTTTACCTAGCATGTATAGGATAAATGAAGATAGGGAAGTGACTTCAGAAATCTTTTTTTCTCTTTCTTTCTTTTTTTTTTTCTTTTTTTGAGATAGGTTTTTTACTGTGTAGCCTTGCCTGTCCTGGAACTTACCCTGTAGACCAGGTTGTCCTGCAACTCATAGAGAACCACCTGCCTCTGCCTCCCGAGTGCTGGGATTAAAGGCGGTCACCACTAATGCCTGGCAACTTTAGAAAAGCTTAATGTATTGTCTTTACACGTCGTTTCCAGGATTGGCCAGTGTTTTTGTTCATTACAGTGGTTTGATGTGGGGGAACTATTTTATAACCCAAAGCAGACAGCAGTTCATTGGACAAGAGAGAAGTGATACGTACATTTAGAATAAGTACTGTCTTTCCTCTGATGTCACTAATGAGAAGGCATAATGGAACGCTAGTGAGTATGTGTGTGTGAGTGTGTGCTTATGTGTACTTGTATTGTGTGTATGTGTGCTTGTGTGTGTGTAATTGCTTTTTTCATTACTTTTCTTAGGACAGTTTTATAATAGTGTTCATAGGCTACATGGCTGCCCATGATTGATTGGCTGGGTATATTGGTCTGTTTTGATTCCTTTAACAATACCTCTTTTCAGCCCTACTTTATACATTTCTCAGCTGTCATTTTTCATGCTTAAATAGAAAGTGATAGAAGATTTGGAACCAAAGCTGATTCCATTTAGACTCAAAAATGGCTCCAAATAAGACATCTTTCTGCAACCGCCTCCCCCCTAAGACATAGCACATTCCCCTTCAGAGAAAATTAATTTTGCGTGTGTCTTTTTACCTGCAATTTTTGCAGACACTGCTTTTGTAGGAAACAGCTCTCAGCAAAGGGGGTGGGCACTGAACAGGGAAGGGCTTACCCACAGGCAGAGGAGAACATGGTCTGAGATGAATGTGGGAACACACTGAGGAGATGATTGACACTCCAGAAAATGAGTGGTGAAGCTAAAATACTTGATGCTGCTATAGATACGCAGCAAAAGGGTATTTTATTTACAGGCTAACCTTTTAGCTTGTGCACTGCTGCTGATTGTGGGTTGAATTTTTCTAATTTACTTTTAAATGGGCTTTGATTCCAAGAAAGCTATCTGTAGAGGTTTTGTAGCTCCAACAAGACAGCTACAGAGAACTTCAGGTACAGAAAACGAAGACATGCAGAAATAATGACATTAGCTACTGCCTTGAGTTTTTAAAAAATATTTTACACTGATTTATGTGTATATCGGTATGTCTGTGTTGGTGTGAGAGCAGATTCCCACAGATGCCGTCGACTCTCCCTCTGTTATTGATCACTCTTAATTTATTTTCAGGACTAGGAAATGGCTGAGTGGGTGAGAATTACTGATGTGTAAGTTTAAGGACCTGAGTCTGAATCCCTAGCCCACATCTGAAAAGCTGTTGATGGCTGCGTGTTTCTGTAACCTCAGGATGAGGGATGGAGGCAAGGCAGATCCTGGGAGCTCATTGCTCAGCAGCCTCACAGAAATAGTGAGCTTCAGGCTCAGTGAGAGACTGTCTCAGAGGAATAGGGTGGAGACTGATAGACAAAAATACCCACAGGTATGGTGCCACAGGCCTTTAACTCCAGCATCTGAGAGGCAGAGACAGTCAGATCTTTGTGAGTTCAAGGCTAGTCAGGTCTACATATCATCTAAGGCTACTTAGTGAGACCTTGTCGCATACAAACAAACAAGAAAACCAACCAACCAACGAAATAAAACCAAACAAAACAAGAAAAATACCCCACATCGTCTTTTGGCCTTTGCAGGAGTGCATATATGTGCACATATGCCACCCACGTATGAATTATTGTTTCCATGTAATTGCACATATTTAAGGGGTATAAAGTATGCTGCCTCGGTACATATGTGTACTGTTCAAACCGTACACATCACCTTGTCTTTTCCTTATGTCAAGAGCCTGGGTTGTACGCTTGTCTTTTCTTAATATATGTAAAAGGTTAATTGGGATGGAAGTGGTCCCTGATGTGCTCCAGAGCTCTAGCATGGACCTTACGGACAGGGGTGTATGGAATGTAGCCATTAGGTTGTCTGTTGACTATTTTCTAGGCTGGGTCTTATTATGTAGTCCAGGTTGGTCTCAGGCTTGTAATCTCTCTGACTTAGGCCCCTAAGTCCTGGAATTTGTGACATATCATCCCTGGCTACAGCTGGGAACTTAAGCTATCTGAAAAGGAAACATGCTTCTATCAGTGACTTTCCAAATGTGTGTTATACAGCCCCATTTGGCTTTAGACATTCAATATTATCCCCCCCCCCCCCAGCCTCCAGAATGCTAGGGTTTATGTGCTTTTATGTTTGGGGCACCTTTCAAATTTTTTTTTAAAACTGCTTTATTTAGGAAATTCACCAGGCTGGAGAGATGGCTTGTGGTTAAGAGCAGTGACTCTTACACAGGACCTAGGTTTGATTCCCAGCACACCCACATGGTGGCTTACAGATGTAACTAGTTCTAGGGGATCCAATGTCTTCTTTCTTATCTCTATGGGCAACAGGGGCACGTGAACGTGCATATCTGCAGGCAAAACACCTGTACATGTAAAACGAACAAATCTAAAGGTAAAAAGGAAATACACTGACATTATTGACCAACACTCTTCGTTTACATGGTCACATTGTACTTAGACACCGTGAGTAGGATGTTTAAAGGACTGTGGAGTCCTTTACTAAATGTAGTGCATTTAAAAATATCTCTAATATTTTCAGTCTTGTTTTCTTAAGAAATGGTGGTGGTTGTAGTGATTGAATGAGAATGGCCATCATAGTCTCATAGGTTTCAATGCTTGGGTCCCAGTTGGTGGAACTTTGTTGGAGGGGGTATATTACTGGATGCTTTGAGGTTTCAAAAAGCTCATGATATTCCTCATGATTGTGTCTCAAGATCTAAGCTCTCAGCTACCGCTCCAGCGCCATGCCTGTCTGCCTGCTGGCATGTTTCCCACCATGATGGTCACGGAGTCTAACCCTCTGGAACTGTCAGCCCTAAATTAAGCACGTTCATTTATAAGTTGCCTTGATCATGGTGTCTTCTCATGGCAATAGAAAAATAACTAAGATAGCGTTGTGAAGGTTAGCATGGTAAGGTCTAAAGTCATAGAGGGGAAGAATGTCTAGGCACGTACATGAGGGAGTGTCTAGACTGAGTTAACTGAGGTGGGAGCCACACCCTAAATGTGGTGACACCATTCTGTGGGCAGGATAACTAAGATAAAGCTGAGCACCAGCAGTCATTTCTCCACACTTCCCGGCTTAGGGTGCCATGCGATCAGCCAGCTGCCTCAAGCTCCCACTGCCATGGACTTTTTCACCGTGAGTGACTGCACCATCAGCTGTGACCCACATAAACCCAGTGTCTTAGTTGCTGTTCTGTTGCTGTGAAAAGACATCGTGAAGGAGGCAACTTAAAGACTAAAGCACTTAGTTGGGGGCTTGCTCACAGTTTAAGTGGGTCGGTCCGTGACCATCATGGCGGGGACTTGGCGTCAGGGAGTCAGTCAAGGCAGATGGGGGTGGGTAGAGGAGGGGGAGAGACTGGGCCCGGCTTTCAAAGCCTACCTCCAGTGGTACACCCCCTCCAACACCTCTAGTTCACCCACTGGGACCCAGACACTCAAATATCTGAGCCTGTGGGAGCCATTCTCATTGAGGCATCGCACCTTCCTTGCTTACGCTCTTGTCAGGCATCTTGCCGTAGCTGAGAGCAAAGCAACCAATAGTGTAGTGGTCCACAAATTGCCTTCATATGACCCACTACTTCTGTGACTTACGGTTTGAAAGATAATGCTCTCAGACGTGACTGTCACAGCTACATGTCTCACATAGTTTTAAATACACGGGTATCTGTTAAAATGCTTTATCTTTTCTCACTTCAAATATATTTTCTGTCAGAAGA